TCCCAGAGAGGGTCAAACATCTGTCTACTTTGATAGCTTTGTTCACTGCAACTTCCCCAAGTCCTTGAAGGACTCCCACAGGACCCATTAACAGCTTCATTAATATCAGGCCAAACCAGCTTACTCTGACTCTGGTCATTTTTTCCAGGGTTCAGATGTCTGTTATTTATATTTTCTTCTTTTAAAACCTCTAGTTATTGAATAGACAATATTTATCATCATAGACAGACTGAGGAAGGGAAAATAAGAGCAGAGACAGTATCTTCTGAGAAAGTCTCTCAATTCCATTGACCAGGCTACCAGCTGCAGGATTCGGTATTTCTAACAGTGCCATGACAAGACTGGGTTCTTCTGCAAGCTATTATTCCCAGTAAGAAGACTATTTTGCCTTCGATCTGCATTCTAATGCTTTCTCCTAATGAATAATTGTGTGATCTTGCCAAGTTATCTAACTGCCCTTTTTCACCCAGTGTTTGGGAGGATGGATCAAAGAAGTGTTTCTGGAAACTTTAGTGTATTCATTGAGAAGAATCAAAGATTGCTTTGTCTTGCAGCAGGTTTGAGTAAGGTTTTGCATTTCTGCAAAGTTCCCAGGTAATATTGATGGTGCAGGCCCAGAAACCATATTTTAGACAACCAGTGAAATAAAGTGTCTGCTGTCTATCAAAGGAGCTCTGGCAGCCTAGTGATTAAGAAACTGCCTGACAACTCAAAGGCTTGTGGTTCATATCCACTAGCTGCTTCATAGGAGAAAGATGGGCAGTCTCCATTTCATTTACAGCCTCTGAAAAACCCACTGAAGGAACAGCTATGAATTGGTTCTGATTTGATGACAGCTCACAACTGCTTAGCGGTAGTAAAACTTGCATAATTCTTTGTTGTCCTTTACCTTCACTGACAAGTCAAGGAGGGCTTTGGCAGCATAGTCCATAGGGAGCTGCTTTGCTAACTTGGAAAGCAGCACCTCTCTAGAAATTCAAGCGCTCCACGAAAAAAGACAGGCAATCTCCTCCCACACCATTCATTTACCCTCTGGAGAGTCAGCTGTTAGTTCTGACTAGAAGGCAATTAGTTTTTGAGGTTTTTTTTACAGGGTAAGGGAAGAAAAATTAATTTATCAAGTCATCTCACTTAATCCTTACAACATCCTATGATGTAAAGATTATATTATTTTATGAATGAGAAAATGAAACTTTGCCCAACATTATACAATAAGGAGATAGTGTTAAAACGAAGCTTGTCTGACTCCAGAATCTGTGTCACACTTTGCTTCCAAATCTCACTTAATCCTTACAACATCCTATGATGTAAAGATTATATTATTTTATGAATGAGAAAATGAAACTTTGCCCAACATTATACAATAAGGAGATAGTGTTAAAACGAAGCTTGTCTGACTCCAGAATCTGTGTCACACTTTGCTTCCAACAGTGTTCAGCAAGAGGCAACCACTGCCATCAAGTCAGTTCTGACTCAGGGACACTTCATCCAGTTCTGAGGCGTCTTAACAAGAGCAGCTAGTGAATTTGAACTGCTGACTTTTCAGTTTGCAGTCGCAGCTCAACGGGTAGGTAACACACTAGACACTATACCATCAGAGCTTCCTCATTAAACTAGAAGGTTCTAGTTCATTTTTTCTAAATGATGACTTGTTTACTCCTTTCTATTTAATTTTTTGCTTGTTCACTTAATGTTTATTCTAAGTTGGTTCAAAAGTTTTAGAAATGTGTGAGACATACTTTTTAAAGGAATGTAAGAGATTAAGATAATTGCTGAAGATACTATTAATTAAAAATTTACACGTAACTTGCTCAGTATTGACAACTTTAGGAATCACGCAAAAGTAACCAAAATGACGGAGGTTCCCAAATATTTCAGATGGATATGTGCCAAGCATGCTTTTTCTATGTTTAATAAAAATTTTAATTGTTATTTTAATGAAAGTTTACAGAAAAGTTAGATTTCCATTCATTCATTGTTGGCCATTTTATCCCCTTTCCCTCCAATTCACTTTTCAAAGTATTCACACTTTATTGCACAATTCATGCGTGCATTTTTAGAATGACTGTCAGGAAAAGGGAATAATCCTGGCAAAGCAGTGCTTAACGGAGGCTATGAACCAAAGGGTTAGTGGTTTGAACCAATCAGTTGCTCTTCTGGAAAACAATGAGGCAATCTTCTTCTATAAAGATCCAGACTTGGAAACTCTACAATGTTCTACCCTATACAGGGTATTATGAGTTCAAAATCTACTCCATGGATTTTAATGGGTCATTAAAAAGGCAAAAAAACATTTCCTCTGCCACTCTTCTGGCTCAAAGAACTAAGTCATTTATTTAAATTATTTAACTAGTGAGGAAAAAAACTGATGTCAAACCAGCTTTGATGTTTTGTTTTTTACTGCTTGATTTTAAGTGTTCAAACTTAAAAATATTAGGAACATGCTTCAAGGAATGTATTTTGAACTAGCTGTCAAAGAAAGACTAATTACAAGATGAGCCCCAACCTCTTTAAAAGACTTATTGTTCTGTCTTAATTAACATGAACAGAACTGTCCTAAAACTAAAGGGCATGATCCCAATAGGTTAAATTACTCGGGTTGTCAGTGCAACCGAGGGTTCCCCTGAGGAAAATCTGTCATTGCCTTTCCACCTGCACTACTTTTATTTCTCAAAGGACGTGGCTGCAGCTGGGTGCCTCTCTGTGGAGGGGCATGTGGCCCACAGTGAACAAGCTCTGTACTGAGCAAGGATGGTGGACCAGCGTGAAAGTAAACCTTTAGCAGAAACATAGCCAGGAATGTGGCACTCTTTAATGAGGCTGCATATGAAACACTTTGATTCCACTTACTCTGGTGAGCAGTGGAAACGTCTAGGGAAGGGAGAGAAACCAGAAAATGTCCCTAGCAGGATTCAGCCTTAGTGGCTAGTTAAAAGATGTTTGGGAATTGGAAAAATCTCCAACCAATAGCATTCTCAATTTCCCCAGAGGTAATGAGGCGAATGCACTTAAAGATCTTGATTCAGTGGTAGGTCAAAGGTCAACGCATGTTGAATGGCATCATCCCCGTAAGAACTTAGTGCTTGCTGTCTTTGTACACTGGAAGTGGTTATTTCCCAGTTTGCATTTACCTTACACCTTGAATAGAATTTTCCCCCCACATTATTCTCATACTTTCCTTATGAGACTCTACGACTCTCATGCAAGGAGACTTGGTAGGGTAGTTTGCTGCATATTGCGTACCTAGGGCTGGCACTTTGAATTCACCTACTACTCTGCAGGAGAAAGACGGGCAGACTACTCCAATAAAGACTATTGCATTGGAAACTTGATGGAAGTTGGTCTCAGATTAGTATCAACTTAATGCCAGTAGGCTGAGTATTTGGTTTATTAGCATGAAAGAGCACTGGTGTTGTTGTTGTTATGTGCCATTGAGTGACTTGTAACTCATAGTGACCCTATGTACAACAGCCCTAAACTCTGCTCTGTCTTGTGCCAATCGCAGTCTGATACACTCATCCCGATTACCCCAGTCACTGAATTAATCCACCTCATAGAGGGTCTTCCTCTCTTGTGCTGTCCCTCCACCCTCCCAAGCGTGATGTCCCTCTCTAAGGACTGGTCCCTCCTTGCAACATGTCCAAAGTATGTCAGGCAAAGCCTCAGAATCCTTGCCTCCAAGGAGCAGCCTAGTTGAACCCTCTCCAGGATGAATCTGTTTGTTTTTTCTTAGCAGTCCATGGTACACTCAATACTCTTCTCCAGCACCACAGCTCAAAGGTATCAGTTCTCCTTCTATCCTCCCTAGTCATTGTCCAACTCTCTGATGCATAACAAGTGATTGCGAAGACCATGGCCTGTATCAGACGCACCTTAGTCTCCAGAGAGACACCATTGCTCTTCAGTACTTCGGAGAGGTCCCTAACAGCAGACTTTCCCATCACAGTATGTCTTTTAATTTCCTGGTTGCTTGTGCCAAGAGTGTTGACTGTGGAGCAAAGCAAACTAAAGCTGTGAACAATCTCAATCTCTTCACCATCCATCCTGATGCTGCCAATTGGTCCAGTGGTGAGAATCTTTGTCTTCTTGACATTGAGCCTCAATCCATATTGAAGGCTGCAGTCCTAGTGGTGCAGTAGCTAAAGTGCTCTGCTGCTAACCAAAGGATCAGTAGTCTTAGCCCATCAGGTGCTCCACAGAACCATGATGTGGCTGTCCACTCTCACAAAGAGTACAGCCTAAGAAACCGTGTAGAGAACCTTGCTCTATTCAACAGAGTGGGGTCAGTATGAGCTGGAATCAATGTGATAGAAATAGGGTCGATACACTAGTATCAACCAGTTGCTTAAGAAAAAGAACAGTAAAAAGTTCAATTCATCCTTAGGAATGAAATTAAGTTTAAGAAAGGAATATAAATACCTTTATTTTTTTCACATTTTGCAATTGTTTAGTCTATTAAGTAATAGTATTTCCTTAATCAATCTTTCCAACATCACAGAAAAAGGTGAATAACTTTATGCACCTGAAGTAATTTTGTCTGGTGATCTCGTACTGAAATTATTAACAAACTATTATCAGCTGGTGGTGAGGGGGCACAGGAGTGAGAAGCAAGTATATAAAAGGAATAATAATTTTTTTAAATGGGAAATTTATTTATACCAGAAGGACTTAGTTATGTTACTAATAAGTCTCTAGTTTAGACATTTTAAAGAATTCGTCCTATGAAGAAATAGTAATAAGTGATAATAGCTAAAGACATATTACAAATGAGGTCCAAGACAAATAGAGAAGAAAGGGTTAGTGGGGGTGAGGTTTATTTCCCCTACCAAAAAAACAAAAGACTATTCTCCTTCTTGAAATGAAGGGATAAGACCTTCTAGAGAATTCTAGAAGTCTCTTAAAAGAAAATATTTCTGTAGTCAGTTTCAGAGTTTGTTGAATTTTCCAGACTCTCAAAGCTTTCACGGTTTCTAGGTGATTTCACCTGACCAACTTCAATTCTACTTAAAAGTTGGGAAAACATTTTTGTAAAAATTTTTCAAACCATAGTCAACCAGTATAGTCAGCTCAGCAAATGGGTTAGCTCCATTATTTTCCATGTCAATATTACTCTTATGATACAACATAACAAGAAACAAAATCCTCGTGCTAGTTTTCATATTGCTCCAAAAACTCTTTGAGAACTCATGAAACTTCATGTGGGAGTAAAGATCTTGGGGTGAGATTTTTCCACAGACATGGAGCAGTCACTGTCGTTCTTGTGTGTGCGTCGGACGTGGCTGTCATGAGCCGCATGGGATGCAAACGATTTACCACAGTGCTTGCACTTGAAAGGCTTCTCCCCAGAGTGCTGCCTAATATGTGTGCGGAGGATGCTGGAGGCAGTGAATTTCTGACAGAGAATAAAAAGCAGAAAAAACAAAATGTCATGAGACAATTAATAAAGCAAGATTAATCTTACTGTTAGCAGTAACTTGTGTTCTATAAATGATCATTCTTGGTTCATAGCAGCTTACAGAGAAAAGACTTAATTGACTTATCCTCCTAACTAGCTTTGAGAATTGTCATATTTTGGAGAGGGAGTTCTGGTGGCTTAATGGAAATAAGTTGCACTGCTAGCCCAAAGACATGTGGTTTGAATTTACAAGCTGCTCTAAAAGAGAAAGATAGGTAATCTCTTCCTACACAATTTATTGCCTCTGAAAAGCCAGTGACAGGTTAGCTATGAGTTGATTCCAACTTAACAGCTATGAGTGAATTAGAAAAGAATTCCTGGGCAGTGCAAATGGTTAAGTGCCCAAATACAACTAGAGATGACTCGGAAGCCAGACTTTGCAATCTGTTTCCGAAAGGTCACATCATCTTGAAAATAATATGGAGCAATTCTACCAAAAACATGTTTGTGAATCCACCAATATATAATCTTGTTTTATGTACTTTTTTTTTTTTTGCTTAAAGACACCAGATATTGATTCACTAACTTTCAACTGAAGGCCAAAACACTCATGTCTGAACAAAGCTTATCATAACACTTATACTTTCTCTGTACGGTACGTAACAGCTTTTCTTTGCTTAAGAACACCAGACTTGGGGTTCAGCACTACACTTGGGCAAAGTTTTAAAATATTGAAATCACCATCACTAACAAAAGCACAAAACTACAAAACCAAATCCTAATACTATGTAGCACCAGGAGCTCTGGCAGCCTAGTGGCAAGAAGCTGCACTGCAATCTTGAAGGTAAATAGTTCAAGGTCACCAGCTGCTTGATGAGAGAAGGATGGACAATCTCCTCCTATGTGATTGCTTCTGAAAACCTGCTGGAGGGTCAGCTATGGGTTGGGTCCAACTCTATGGTACACAACAGGACAAGGTTAAGGTCCACTGTTAATAGGGTCACAATGACTTGTAAGTGACTCAAAAGCACCTCAAAGCAACAACAAATAGACCTTGAAAAAGACCCTCAAGTGCGTTATGAGAGCTAGACCAAGATGGCAGAGTGTCCCCTTGCTTTAACTTCAGCTGAGAACATGCATGTTTGGAAGACTAGCATTTTTGCCTCTGTGCATTCTTGGGGAAGTGTTTGTTTTTTAAAATATCTTCTGCCAAAAAGAGAAATATCCAGTGTGAAAAACAATGTATACAAATCTTGTAAATAAACCAGTTTAACAAACAAACAAGGCTAGGAGTCACTTTTGAGAAATAAACAAATCTTTAAAAAAAATCCTGAAATATATATATGTATCTCTTCTGCCAACTTAGACAAATTCTGACAAAAGCAGAAGAGAAAAGAAACAATTTTATGATTGAATAAGCATTAACAAGGCAGAATAAAATATGGCACAATGGTAATCTGCTAGTGATTAAAAAAAAAACAGATTTTATCCTCTTATTTAGACAAGTTAATGAGGCTCCCTTCATACATCCTTGTATTTTTAAAAATTTTTTTTTATTTTATTATTTTTTGTATGTACCGTCAAATCAGATCTGACTGGCATGGGAGGAGATTGCCCTCCTTCTCCAGCAGAGCATCTGGTGGATTTGAACAGCTCACCTCTGAGACTGCAGTGCAGCTTCCTGCCACTAGGCCACCAGAACTCCCTTCACATCCTTATATTCTTAAGAAAAATAATGTCCAGTCTTCAAATTAGAAGACTTGACAGAATCATTTATTATATGTAGTTCATTCTAAATTAATCTGCTAGTTGGGATTCATAGGTAGCCCATGTGTGTCTGCTAAAGCCTTTGCCAAAGAAAATAATTTATTCCCCTCATCTTGACACCTGGGAGTAGGCTTGCAACTGGGAGCCAAATGCCAGTTGAAGTTAGGCTCCTACCCTCCCAGCAAGCAGGGACTCAGGGGCGCTATCTTCCTTGATTGATTACTTATTAAAGAGATGGCTTCCAGGTCCTTGAGAAAACATGCCTGGGTCATAAAAGCGGCAAGAGGCTTATTCAGCCTTTAAAAAAGATTTACATTCATTTGGAAGGAGGTAAAGAAAGAACTAAATTTTCCTCTTCCTTTCTCTCTCTCTCTCTCTCTTTTTTTTTTTTTTTTTAAAAAAGCCTTTGGGCAAGCTCTGGTGGCCTAGTGGCAAGAAGCTGCATGGCAATAATGTCTTTCTGTACCAGTCAGATCTGATTTAATGGTACACACACATAATTTTAAAAAACCTTTGTATTTGTCTTCATAGCATATCTGTGAATGGCAAAAGGATCAGAAGGACTGGTTTGGGGGGCTACAAAGAAATTTTAGCAAGAATTTGAAAGTATAAATACAAATTGAATATTAATTAGGGTCAATTGTGTAAGAAAAGGACTTGGATTTTCTGGTCCATTGGCAGTGATATGAAACATCAGCTTAAATTAGTGATTCCAGTTTAGGGGATTAGGTGAGAAGCAATGGGACGCCTGGGAGTTACCAGCATACTCCAACAAGATCTTCCAGGACTGGGACATTCTTGCTGTAGGAGGATGTACAAACTGGTTTACCCATCCAGGCATCATCAATCTTACTGATCTATGCAGGATCTAGTTATGGTTCCCATTTTTCAAATACTAATGACTGGATTTCCTTGAAGTATTCTTTCTGCAGCTTTATTAGCTTCCTCAAGCCTGGTAGACTCCATGTCTTATTCTATTTTGGAACTTTCAAAAATATCCTGAACTAAGAATGCCTACCAATATTCCTTTTGTGGCTCCATTTTTAAAAATACAAGTGATTCTTGTTGACAGAGTCTGTACTAGTGCTATAGAAGAGGACTTTTTGGGATAATGATAACATTCTGTACCTGACCTATCCAATGCAATGTTTCATTTAAAATGTGGTTAGCATAGCTGAGCATCTAAATATTAAGTTTAATTTCCTAGTTATTGACTTAAATAGCTGCATATTGCTAACTGCTATCATGACTAGAGCACACCAATGCAGATCATCAAAATAGGTATTTTTTGGCATCCATTTCCAAGCTCATGGTCAAACTACTACTTCCATTCCAACAACCATCTGTTTCTTTCTTCTTTTCCACAACTCAGTACTTTTGTGTAACTGGGTTAGGTAAGATCCCATTTTGGGAATGATGTTCCTCTAGAAAGCTAAAACAGCAGCATTCTCTCCATTTAAATACAGATTAAATTATTCACAATAGTAACTAACTTTTCGATAGTCCTTGTGATGGGCCAAATACTATTCCAAGTCTCTTAAATGTGAACTTATGTGATCTAACAATTTTGTAAGGTAAAGACTATATCTCCCTTCCCCCATTGGCCAATGAGTTCATTAAACACACACTATTTCCTTGGGGTTTTAGACCACTAGATTTACATGTCAGAGGCAGAATTTGAACTTTGGCAGAATTCCTTTATTAAATGCCTATGATTTTCAGGTCCCTGAAAATCCGGGACATATACATGTTCTAACTGTCAACTTGGCAGTAAAGTATAGCTGACTGATCATCTCTAGCAACCATGGGCTTATGTGGGAATGGGAAGGCAAAATGGACTAACCTTTACCATAAACTCATAAACCACTCAAGCAGAGATTAAGGAAGCTGTCCCGGAAGATTTCCATTTACCTTTGTACAGTACACACACTGGTAAGGTCTGTCCCCAGAGTGGATTCTCATGTGCTTGCTTAGGCTGGAAGACTGAGAGAAACACTTCCCACATGTAGAACACTGAAGCAAAAAAAAAAAAAAAAGGGGGGGGGGGGCGGGGGGTAAACTATGATTAAAATCCCATCTTATTGGAAAAAGTTTACTCTTCTCGATATTTTCATTTGTCCAAGATTGGGAACCACGGGCAAGCTATTTCTGTACTGTAGACACACCACCCCTGGCCAAGCCCAAGGAAAAGAACCAAGTGGCATGTGTCCACTCGAGATCCATTAGAGATCTTATCTCTAATGCTGTGTGAGTCTACCTAACACTTGGATTTCAGCTGCTTCATTGTCAAAAGTGGGAACTGAACATGATCATGGTTTACAATAAAGAGACTTGAATTAGTCTTGCTTTGTGAACAAGTAGCTGGGTGACTACAGCATGTTGAACTTGGACTTTGTCTTCCTGATTTTCCTCAGGGCAGACTACTTCTGTCTTTTTCAGAGATCTGTGACTAATTTGCACATACTGTGCAATAAAGAGATTCAGCAAGGATTTATTGAATACCTACTATGTGCCCAGCATTCTGCCATAGATAAGGCATTATCTATGTGGATGGGAATAAAAATATCAACCAAAATAGCAATATAGGCAGATAGATAGATAGATACTAGGGTATCAAAAACTCATTGCCTTCGAATCAGAATGGACTTACTAGCTGATCCTTCACTGAGTTTCAGAGGCAGTGAATCACATGGAAGGAGATTATCCATCTTTCCCATGTGGAACCCCAAGTGGATTCAAACCACCAGAGAGGCCTGGTCTTTGAGTTAGTGAAGTAATTTTCTACAGATCATGCAGCAGAGCTCCCTAGGTCACAGTCACTATAAAGTAAAAATATTTTGGACATCAAAGGAAGCATATAGGACTATAACAATTCCATGTCCTTTGACTAATTTATTCTTGATGCTGGTGACACCTGTCCAATTTTTCCCTGGAATTTAGAACCAGGTAAAGCAAACTACAGAAGAGGTGAAACCATTGCCAGAGACAAAACAGGAAGTCTGGTTTTGATATCACCTTGAAACCAATTGTCCTTGTTGCTATGTGCTATCACCTGTGTCTCATAGTGGCCCTATGTACATTAATTCTTAATCCTGCCCTAACTTTAATCCCATTTCTCTAGTCACTGAGTCAATTCATCTCACCTGAGGTCTTCTCCTACAGAAAGACAGCAGGTATCTTCAGCTGGTGAGGTGGTGGAGTATATTTTTTAAAGTTTTCTCCATTTTCTATAGTGCTTAAATTTTAATAAGAAAGATGTAATAAATTTATCAAAACCAAAAAAAATTAAAATTGAGCTGAAAATGTAGCAATTGGCTAAGGAACTTGTTCTTAGGAATGAAATAAGTTAAGTAAAAACAAGAATAATAACATTGACTATACACTGTTAACTGTGTGGACTCAGCCGACAGCTAGCATCCAAATATATGTTTTATAACATTAAAGTTTGGAAACTGAGAAAACAAGAGTGGGAGATGACCAGTTAAGAATGGGGGGTGGGGGTTCTATTCTACCTAACATCTGGCCAGAAGGAGTTCCAGGAGAGAACAAAAATCTGGAGTGTGGTTGGTAACCAAAGAACAAGAAAATGACTGAGTTTAGGTCTTGCATCTTCAGATCAAAGGAGGGCTGGAAGGTAAGGAGAGGTACCTGCAAGCCAAGCAATGAAAGACAGGAAAAGAGAAATGAAATTTCATTAAAATTAAAACCCTTTGTTCAAAGGGCTTTAGAAAGAAAATAAAGAGAGAACCTACAGGAATGGAGAAAATATTTGCTACCCAGATATCTGGTAAGACCTTAATATCCAAAATAAAAAACTCTTACACTCAGCAAAGATAACTCAACCAAAAAATGGGTAAGAGATTTCAAGAGGCATTTCTCCAAAGGCAAACTTGCCATGTGACCTAGCAATTTCACTCTTGCATACACACTCCAAAGACAGAAAAGCGAAGATTCAAACAGATTCTTACAACATCAATGTTCATTGCAGCACTATATACAATAGCTAAAAGATGAAAATGTCTACTTATGATTGGATAAAAATATATGATGCATCAACAGACACCTGGATAAAAAAATATGGTGTATAAGAATGGTGGATTAAAGTCATAAAGAGAAATTAGGAAGTCACAGGATAGGGCAAGCCTCTGTGATCTGTTGTTCACAGGGTCGTTATGAATCAAAGTCAACTTGAAGGCTCATAGCAATAACAACAAAGTTTTAATAGCACAGATGAATCTTGAAAATATTGTACTGAATAAAATAAGTCACTTTCAAAAGGAATAATATTGGTGAGCCCATGTATATGAATTAACTGTAGTACACAAATATACAAATAACAAAGTTCTTACTAGGGGTGGAGGGGAGGAAGGAAATGGGAAGTTATTGTTTAAAATTTCTAAGGGAAAATTATTTTTATTCAAAATTTTATTTGCAGCCAAACTAGCAATGTTATATGAATAAAATATCCTCAAAAAACTTGAGAAAAAAATTTTACTATGTACACCAAAAAAATACCAATTACCTGAAGATAATGCCCGAGTGAAATAGAAAAAAAAAAAAAAGAATAGGATTAAAAAAATCATTAAAACTATTTTGGGAGAATAGTCTTTAAAATTAAAAAAGTATGACAACTCCTTGGTCTACAAAGCAACTTTTAAAAATCAGAATAGAGGAGCTTCAGTGGTCTAGTGACAAGAGGCTGCGCTGCAATCCTGAAGGTGCACAGTTAAGTCCACCAGAAGCTCCACATATAAAAAGAAAAAAAATCAGAATAGGCTCCCTAAAGAAGCCTCTTTCTATTCCAACAAGAATAGAAATATTATACAGATCACATGGTTAATAAATGAAAATTAACTTTTAATGAGGTTTAAAAACTCTAGAATAAAAAATAAGCTTACAAGTCAAATTAAGATATTTATAAAGTCTAGTGGCTGAAAGCAGGGAATACCAGAGGAATGTCTATCTGTGTTTCATTGACTATGCAAAGGCATTTGACTGTGTAGATCATAACAAACTGTGGCTGACTCTGAGAAGAATGGGAATCCCAGAACACTTGATCGTTCTAATGCGAAACTTATACTTGGACCAGGAGGCAGTCGTCAGAACAGAGCAAGGGAACACTGCATGGTTCAAAATTGGGAAGGGCGTACGCCAGGGATGCACCCTATCTCCATACCTTTTCAACCTATATGCAGAACAGATTATCCGGGAGGAGAAATGTGGGGTCAAGATTGGTGGACGATTTATCAACAACCTGCGCTATGCAGATGACACAACCCTGCCTGGTGAAACTGAAGAGGACCTGGAGCGCCTGCTGCAGAGTGTCAAGGACTGTAGTCTACAATATGGATTGAGGCTCAATGTCAAAAAGACAAAGATTCTCACCACTGGACCACATGGCAGCATCAGGATGGATGGTGAAGAGATTGAGATTGTACACAGCTTTAGTTTGCTTGGCTCTGTAGTTAACAGTCTTGGCACCAGCAAGCAGGAAATTAAAAGGAGCATTGCCATGGGAAAGTCTGCTGTTAGAGACCTCTCCAAAGTACTGAAGAGCAATGGTGTCTCTCTGGAGACTAAGGTGCGTCTGTTACAGGCCATGGTCTTCACAATCACTTGTTATGCATCAGAGAGTTGGACAATGACCAAGGATGATAGAAGGAGAATTGATGCCTTTGAGCTGTGGTGCTGGAGAAGAGTATTGAGAATACCATGGACTGCTAGGAAAACAAACAGATTTGTCCTGGAAAGGGTTAAACTGGGTGGCTCCTTGGAGGCAAAGATTCTGAGTCTCCGTCTAACATACTTTGGACATGTTGTGAGGAGGGACCGGTCCCTGGAGAGGGATATCATGCTTGGGAGGGTGGAGGGACAGTGCAGGAGAAGAAGGCCCTCTATGAGATGGATTGATTCAGTGACTGGGATAATTGGGATGGGAGTGTCAGAGACAGTGCGATTGGCACAGGACAGAGCAGAGTTTAGGGCTGTTGTACATAGGGTCGCTATGAGTCGCAAGCGACTTGACAGCACATAACAACAACAACAAGAAGTATGTTTCTGAACAACTAAGAAGAATAGAAATATTATACAGATTACATAGCTAAGAAATTAAAATTATCTTTTTATGAAGAGAAAAAAACTACAGAAAAATAAAAAACATAAGCTTACAAGGAAGACCAAAATTGAAATATTTATTAAGTCTAGTATGTTTCTGAAAAATTGACTAAGTGTAAGAAAACAATTTCTGAGAAAACAAAGCTGTGTCTTCTTCGGTCAGGTATCCCAGAACCTTGGAGAAGAATGACTTTTTCAACACATGCTCAATTTCCAAATTTGTTGTTGTTGTTAAGTGCTGTCAACGTGTTTGCAATTCATAGCGACCCAAAGTATAACAGCCCAGAACCCTACTCTATTCTAAGTCAGCCTGATCATCTGACACACTCACCCCCATTACCCTAGTCACTGAGTCAATCCATCTTGTCCAGGGTCTTCTCTTGCATTGCTACTCCACCCTCCCAAGTATGATATCCCTCTCCAAGGACTGCTTCCTCCTTTTAACATGCTCAAAATATGTCAGATGGAGCTGAAGAATCTTTGCTTCCAAGAAGCAGCCTAGTCTCACCCTCTCCAGAACAAATTTGTTTTCCTAGCAGTCCATGGCATATTCAATACAGATGCTGCCCTAGATGTGCTCGCCAAGTTTTGCCAAGCAATCTGGAGGACAACCACCTGACCAACTAACTGGAAGAGATCCATATTTGTTCCCATTCCAAAAAAATTTGTCTAACAGAGAGTGGAGATTATCAAACAATATCATTAATATCACATGCAAGTAAAATCCTGCTGAAAATTATCAAAAAAAGACTGGGATAGCACATCAACAGCCAGATGTGCAGGCTGGGTTTAGAAGAGGCTAAACTAGTGATATTACAGCTTATGTTAGATGGATATTGGCTGAAAGCAGAGAGTACCAGTGGAATGTTTATCTGTGTTATGGTGACTATGCAAAAGCATTTGATAGTGTGGACCACAAAAATCTGTGGCTAATTCTGTGAACGGGAATTCCAGAACACTTGATTGCGCTTATGCAAATCATTATTATTACTGACTATATTTTTTTATTCCTGACATTTTTTTGGTCTTCCTGAAATTGATGTCCCTTTTCTGGGGCACTGGTCTTGATGAGATCTGGTCCATGAATTACCTGAAAAGGGGTACATTTAGGTTTTAAATGCTGGAAGGGGGGGGGGGCGGTAATACTGAGTCTTCATTGTTAGCTATAATATTCCCAGCACTTTCCGGAATTGAACCAACCCCCAAAGCAGATTGTAGTTGATTCCAACTCGTAGCTGACCCTCCAGTAAGTTTTCAGAGGCAGTAAATCACATGGGAGGAGAATGTCCATCTTTCTCCTATGGAATAGAGATGCTTAATAAGATTTACAAGGCTGAAATATTTTTTTTTTAATTTTATTATGTGTGTGTGTGTGTGTGTGTGTGTGTGTGTGTGTGTGTGTGTGTGTACCGTCAAATCAGATCTGACTGGTACAGGAGGAGATTACCCCTCATCCAGCAGAGCATCTGGTGGATTTGAACCACAAACCTCTAGGATTGCAGTGCAGCTTCTTCCCACTAGACTGAAATCTTTATGGGGAAAAAATTGCCACAGCTTTCTTTCTGAGTGGTTCATGGGCTGGAGTTGCTGACATTTCGGTTAGTTCCTCACTTAACCACTATGCCACCAGGGCTCCTTTTTTCTATTGATAGTTTTTGGTAGAAAAAACACACAGGGACTTTATTATTCCCAATACAAGGCAGGTCTTCCAGGGGTGTCAGGAGGTGGCTGTGGGGCAGGGCTGTAGAGGCAGGAGACACCCTACTTGCAGGCGATAAGAGGGTTCCTCAGGGCCACGAGGACCAACTCCCCACACAGGGACATCAGATGGAGCGGTCCTTGGACTTCTTCTTGCCCTTAATGCTCTTGGGGACCTCAGTCCACACCTCTTTCACATTCCCCAGCACCATGCTACAGTGCCTGTAGAAGGCCTTCATGCGCCAAGGAGCTTCTTGTTGCAACAACTGGTGAGCACTTGTGTGTTGTTCTTGACCGAGTGCAGGAGTTCGGAGAGTGGCCTGTGTTAAACTTCTCTTTTCGTGTCTGTAGCTCCTCCCGGGTTATCTCGCTCTTATCTCACTTGGTGAGGAGGATCACGGTGCCAGCTTGTCCGGTTCCTGTTTCCTCCACGCTTCTTTCTCTCTATTGCTAGGTTTTGTTTCAAATTCTTTATCTGCTATACTGCCTGTCTCGATTTCACTTGCACTTTTCTCCCATCCAAATCAAGTTAAATATTTTCTTTGGTAAATTAACAATCAGTTTTTATAGAAATTAAATACACACTGTCATGTTATGAAAGTAAGGTCTCAAATGAAAATACAGGAAATAGAGAAAAATTAAAGAAAATTCTTAAAATATAAGGAATAGGGGGGAAAAAACCCCCTCCAACTTACTGAACATGATGAGTGCAAATGGCTGAAGAAATTCAAGTGGAAATTCAAGTTGTTCCCTGAACAGCTAGAAACTCATCTTTTGAGATCAGGACAAAATTCTTAACTAGAGATTTGAAGTCATTGCTAACTAATTTTTGGACAAAGGAGGAGATTTGAAAAGTAATGGTGACTAAAGAAGAAAACCCCTGGTGAATGCTGACATAGCTTATAACATCCTACTGCCAGCATTAAAATCTTTATTTCTCCAGTCTACCATAAAAAGGACTCATTGGAAATCTAAATCACAATCTTACTGTCCGTCACCAGTTTCACTCCTATCATCTATTGACCTGCTAGTCCTCGGTCTCCTATTACAAAGACAGCAATTCCCAAATACAGATTGTCTCCTCTAATCCTCTGTCCAAGCCCTACATCATTCTCAGTGTTAGACAGATGGCTCATCCAGTAACCTACAGACATTTTCTTTTTTTATTATTTTATTTTTTTATTTAATTTCTTTATTTTTCATTTCAATGAACATCTACAGAGATTTTGGAATTCCATTCATTCATTGTTGCACCCCTCTCCCCGCCCCCCCCCCCCCCAGACATTTTCTTAAATTGATAGTCTCTGCCTGTGTAGCAGAAAAACAATCAAACAAATCTTCTTGTTTCTACTTTTATAACAACCCTTGGCTTACAAATGGGGCAAACAGCTAAGACCCTAAATACTGTATTTCATCAATCGTAAAATTGGCCATCATTTTGTAAGTACATTAAGAAAGAAAATGTTATTAATTTTTATTATGTTATGCTATAAACTGTATGTTTTTATTATGTCATTGATTTGCTTGAGTCTCATAGCAGCTCTATGTACAACAGCTCTGAACCTTGCTTTATTTTGAGCCAATTTAATTATCTCTGACTCACCTACCCTTATTACCCCAAGTCACTGAGTCAACCCATCTCATCCAGGGTCTTCCTCTCTTGTGCTATCTCTCCACTCTCCCAAGTATGATGCTATTTTCCAGGACTGGTCTCTCCTGGCAACATGTCCCAAGTATGTGAGAAGGAGCCTCAAAATCCTTGTCTTCAAGGAGTAGCCTGGTTTCACCCTCTCAAGGATGAATCTGCTTGTTCTCCTATCAGTGCATAGTAGTATAACACACTCTAATTCAGAAATACTAGAATGTGAAGAAAAAAGATACAACCTAAAATTGACTGAATACTATTTACAAAATATCACAGAAGCAGGTATGAATATACTGGCTATCAAGGACATAACTGATAAATCACAGGATCAATATAAACTGCCTATAAAATACTTAGTTTTTAAAAATTCACTTTTTAAATAAATAAAGTGCACATTGTAAGCAAGATGCAGTTTTTCATCCATCAAAATAGCTACATAAAAGAACAGTATTATTGGCATGGGAGCTGATGCCACTTGTTAGATGCAGCAACCCACAGCTGTCCTGTCACAAGCTTACCCTACCCTGTGCCACTCTCAGCATTTCTGACCTGCTCAAGCCCACTGTTACAGTCTCTGTGTCCAGCCACCTTCCCCAGCCTGATGTCTTTCCTAGGACTGGCTCTTCTTGGCAAAATGGCCAAAACATAAGAGTCGAAGCTTCACCATCTTTGCCTCTAAGGAGCACTTGCCCTTCCTTCAAAACAGACTGTTTGTTCTTTTTGTTAGTGCACGGGATACTCTTCTCCAACATCACAACTCAAAAGCATCAATTCTTCTGTCATCCTCACTCCTTGTCTGATTTTCAGATGCATAGGAAACAAATAACAGAGCCTAGAAGAGGCACACCTTAAGCCTTTCTCTAACAAATATTATTTTCTGTCATATTTAAAAAAGTGAGATGGTAATGGGGGAAAAAAAATCAGTATTAAGTGTATCAAAGAAAAGATTTGTTTTATTTAAAAGAACATTAAAGAGTCAAGGTATTACTTTAAGCACTGAGGTGCTCCGGATTCAAGCCTCAAGATTTTCAGTCCTTATATGCCTATGAGAACTAGACAGTGAATAAAGAAGACCATAGGAAATTATAGTGCTGGTGAATAATGGTGAATAAACCACATGCTGCCGCAAAAAATGAATTAATCTGTGTTAGAAAGTACAGCCAGAGAGCTCCTTAGGAGGGAGGATGGCTGCCAAGGCTATCCCAACACTATCCTCTCCCCAACCAACTATGTTTCTCATATAAAACGGATACACCAATTTTCTGAAAAGATGCAGTGGACACTTCTTTACATGCCCCTCGTTTGCTATTCTAACATCCAACCTAACACCTTGCCCCGTCACTACACCTGCTAACGCACCTGTCTCCTCCACAGCAGTCATGGCCTTCAGAGATGCTGGCTCATCAGGGACTGGACCCCAGCACGCAGCACCCAGGCAGCCCACAGCCCGCGTCCAGGATTTGGACAAGGTGTGAAAGCAGAGGAGGAAAGAGGACAGGACATCGGGTCCTTCGTGACTCTCACCTTGTGAGGCCGGTGCTTCTCGTGAACATGGAGCACATGGATGCGGAGGCGGTCCTGCTTCTCAAAGGACCGCTTGCAGAGGTGGCAGGGAAACTTCCGGTCACCTGTGTCCACGCAGGAGGTGTACTTGAGGTGCTTATCTCGGTAATATCTGTAGGTGAACACTTTGCCACATCGTTCGCACTTGTAACCTTCCGCAGACTCTGTGAAGGAAAAGCGGACCAGAAATGGTGGCTCCTTGGTTTTGTTATTATGCCTCTTACTTGAACTCTTTCTTTACAGGAATTTTAAGCACATACACCAAAGTAGAAATAATAATGCAATACATGTTCACGTACTCACCACTGAACATTCACTGTCACTTCGTCTATAAGCAAGGAGCCCCAGCAGCCCAGGAGCCAGGAATTATGCTGCCAATCCCTTGGTTGTTGTTAGTACCATCAAGTCACAGCTGACACACTGTTGGCGCTCCAGCAGGTTTTTAAAGGCAGTAAATCACAGAGGAGAAGAGAGAAGATTGTCCATCTTTCTCTCACGGAGCAGCTTGTGAATTCAAACAGTACGCCTTCGGGTTGGCAGCACTACTCCTTACCACTAACTCACCAGCACTCCCTAACCCTGCGATCCGCAATTCAAACCCCGCTGGCGGATTTGTTTATGGGTTATTTTGTTTGAGTTTTTGTGGATGGTTTGTTTGTGTTTGTGTTGGGTTTTATTTTGTTGTTGTTGTTTAGTTTTCCTTTTCCTCTAGAAAGGACTATTTTTTAAAAATTATTCTAGTTTATTTAAAAAAATTCAAATACATTATTTTCCAGAACATATTCTTCTAATTTCCCTCACCTTCACCCCCACTCATCAAATTGTACAACCCCATGATCAATTGATCTCGCCTCCCCCTGCACATTCTCGTCCCTCTGCCTCCAACCCTCCCCCCTTGGATGCTTATACTCATTCTATAATAATGATTTTATGCAATATCTGTTCTTGTGGAACTGAGTTCACTCAGCATAATGCTCTCCAGTCCCTCCCAAGTTAGGTAATAATTTACAAAATCATTGCTCCTACAGCTGTGTAGTATTCCGTTGTGTGAATGTACCTTAATTTCTCATTTAGAAAGGACTATTTTAATAGTAATTTACTTCTAGGCTGATAATCATCTCAGATAGTTATCTTTAAAATAACTTTTAAATGAGTAGTGGAGATAGTCTTACAACATGTAACATAATGCCACTGAAATGTATACTTTAAAACCCTTGAGATGGCAAAGAGACAGAAAGCCATGTTAAATTAAAAATTCAAAGTGGGAAGAGCAAAGATAATGTCTTTAAAATGCATAACCATTGACCAAATTTTAAAAAAAGAAATCAAAAAAACTTCTAATTCAGTAACGTAAACACAGAGACATATATTTCTTCTAGTTATTTTAGTCAGACATATATTTCTTCTAGTTATTTTAGTCATTTGTTCGAATCTGGATTCAAAGTCTATTTTGAGTCCAAAGGCTGCTATGTTTTCCTCCTTCCTCTTCTTCTACTGCAGTATACCTCAAGAGACCTTCCACAAGTTAGGACCAATTCAGGGCGACAACTAGCACTGGTGACAAGGTCACCCTCCTGTTTTTCTTGCTCCAGTATCAATCTCAGGCACAGCTCAAACCATGCATCTAAAACCATGCTAACCTTCCCACCCTATAAGCCACAGCACACTTTCCGAATTCCTTGCCCCTGTCCCAGCTACAAAGTTTTAACCGCTCTTTTTTGGATGAGGAAAAGAAAGTGTCGGTTTGTAGTTCACACCTCTAAACTTCTGGGAGAGATTCAGGACTAGAATCTTGACATATAAAGTCAGAGTGAGGATGTTTTTTATTCCCTATCACACATGTGCCTACATGACTGGTCTAATCCTAACAGTAATTGGATTCTTATCAAAGAGATAGTATCACTGAAAGATAGAAATAATGGAGAGGAGGGAGTTAGAGAAGGTACAGGGACTCTAACAAAGGGTCCAGAGTCCTTGTGGGTGGGGAGGAGATAATATATGTGCTGGGGGGAGGGGAGAGGCCTTGGCCACCTACAGAAGCATCCCTACAGAGAGTGCATTCTGGATTCGCCAGGATAAAGTAGCTTTGACTAGGAATGCACCACTGAGACCCTTTTGTCTGCCCCCAGGGAGGGAGAGGAGAGAATGCATGAGGACCACCGGGAAGCAGTGTTAAGGAGACAGCAACATCCAGGCACAGAGAGCAGGTGACTAAGGAAATAAACCATCCACAAAGTAAATAACCAGAAGGCAACCTCCAGCCCCATTGGGGTCTATCTGCTGGCTCTGTCTATCACTTTCATTGAGTTGCTAATACTGGAATCTCCTTACTGGCAGAGTCTTCCACTGGCCAGAAATTCTAAGCCTTTAGGTTTGCTGGAGTGGATAGAGGTCATCTGTCTGTATAAGGCAGGATGATCCTTATCTCTTAACACTCAGTACCTAACAGCACCTAACAACAACAACAATCTTTTCAAAACTAAAGCTCTAGAGCTAACAAAAATTCATTGTTTAATAATGAGTCTGTGTTGGAAACCATTAAGCGTTTGACTATTTGCAAAAGGTTGGCAGTTCAAACCCACCCAGAGGTGTCTTGAAAGATGCCCTGGACACTCACTTCTGAAAGTCTTGAAAATTCTCTGTGGAGGAAGTTGTACGCTGTACATATGGGGTCACCAAGAGCAGAGGACCAACTCAGTGCAATGGCAACCAACAGCAAACAATGGCTTAGCCTGAGAACAAGAACAAAGTTTATCCCCCCTTTTATTTTTAGCCTTTTACCCCTTTTGATCAGGCTTTTGGAAATTTTTCCTTTCTTTCTCCTCTTTTACTCAAATACTTTTTTCTAGGCAAGATAGTTCTTAATATCCTTAATCAGGTGCTTTCTGCTGGTGCCCCAAACACTGAATGGGTTTCATTTGGGAAACGTTAACAGTTGTCTTCTCATTCTGTACCTCCATCCCCCCAAACAAGAGAGGCATGTCTGCATATTCAAACAATCCACCCCCACCAGACCCGCCTTCCTCACTCAGACCTGCAAAGGGAACATAGCTTCCTCATTATCATCCAAAGTAATGTAACAGAACACTAATCAATGCATCCATCATTCTTTTCCCAAAAGACTTAACTGTTGAAAAGTTTCTTCCAGACCTGGTCCAAAATAGACGCCACTTTAACGATGCCATGAACATTAACTGTATCTGATTCAGAATTAGGATTGTTGTTATGTGCCATTGAGTCTCCTGCAACTCATAGCGTCCCTATATACAACAGCTCTGAAGCCTGCCCTATCCTGAGCTGACTCTGACACATCTACCCCCACCACCCCAGTTTCTATGTCAATCCATCTCATCCAGGAGAATTAGGATAGAAGTAACTATATGCTGGGTTGTTTCTCCACTAAGTGCCAAAATCCACTCATTCACTGACAGTAACAAGTAACAGTCCTTATTGCTGCTGCTTAATAACTGATTGTAGTCCTAGATGTAGGATGAATGAAGATGAATGGCCTACCCAGCCTCTGAGCATGTAGCGTGTGATGGATCCCAAATATGGATGGAGCTACCATCCCTGTGAATAAAGCTTTTCCTTTTGGACCATTTCATTTCTTAAAGATACATTTCCAGAAGAGTATCATCAAGACAAGGAGCCCTCCTGGTAGTATAATAAAGACTAAGGAGAGGTTTGTGGTTTGAACTCACCAGCCTCTGCAAGAGAGAAAAGAACAGGCAACCTGCTCCTATAATGATAAATCCAAACTCCAAATCTACTGTTAATGTGGGTTCATAGCAACCCTGAAAAGGTGGCCTACTGGTAAGTTGGTTCCACCATAATTTGAACTTGGATGACTGGATTCAGAGTCCAGAGTGCTAACCATAACATGATTTCATCTTGCTTGGATCCACAAACACCCACGCTACCACCAGTCAGGAGATGTGGAAACATTCAGCATTGAGAAAGTCTATTGTCTGGGACATCTCCAAATTATTGAAGAGCAACGTACGTCTAAAGACTAAGGTGTGCCTGAATCAAGCCACAGTCTTTCCAATCACCTGCTATGCATCTGAGAGCTAGACAAAGAATAAGGAAGACAAAAGAAGGTATGTCTTTGAGTTGTGGTGTTGGAAAAGAGTGCTGAATATCCCATGGACTGCCAAAAGAACAAACTACATCCTGGTAAAACCAGAGTTCTCCTTGGAGGCAAGGATAGTGAAGCTTTATCTCACATAGATTTTTTTACATATTGCATACATTTTTTTAAAGGAACCTCATGTTTTGGAAAGGTGGAACGTAGTAGCAAGAGAGAGGAATGAGACAGACTGACACAGTGACTGCAGCAATGGAGTCAAGTGTGTCCTGAGATGATGAGGATAGACAACATAGGGTAGGATTCAGATCTGCTGTTCATAGAGTTGCTGAGTTGTAATCGACTCCTTGGCACTTAACAATAACAGCAATGGTAAAGAGCTGTACTACAACCCAAAAGCACGCAGTTCGAATCCACTAGCTGCTCCTCAGGAGAAAGATGGGCAATCTCCTTCCATGTGATTTACAGCCTCAGAAAACCTGCTGGAGCTATCAGTCAGTTCTGACTGCATGGCAATAAGTTTTAGTTTTTTGGTTTTGAACATGTCTTCCTGCTGAGAACTTCTGTAATGATAAGCACTAGTTTCCTTTACTTTTACCTATCACATCTATTATTCATAAAGCACACTGCATCAGGTCAGTTCCAATTTACAGCAATCCTCCACTGGGTTCTGAAGACTGTAAATCCTGGAGGGAGGAAACTGCATATCTTTCTCCCTTGGTGTAGCGGCACACTCCAGACACTGACCTTTCAGGTAGCAGCCCAATACGTTAAGCACTATTACTCATTATTGTGTAACAATCTTTTATCTTATCATACATAATATAGAAATTTGTGGCAGCTCTAGTTGCCTAGTGGTTAAGAAGCTGCACTGCAATTCCAAAGGCACTAGATTTGAATAGTTGCCACGAGGAAGAGGTTGGGCACTCTCCTCCTGTGCAATTAAACTGCCCCTGAAAATCAGCTGAAGGGTCAACCATAAGTTGGTTCTGACTCAACAACAACAACAGTAATTTATATTTGTCTTGCCCTATATACTGGATTGGCCATTTTCAGATTTGTGTAAATAAAACTTACTTATTTAAAATGCAAGTTACAGAGGGTCATCTCCAGAGTGGATAGGGCGCTGTCCCTGTGTGGTCCAGGGACCCAACAGTATCAGCATCACCTGGATTCACCTGGATATTTGCTAGGAGCGTGGACTCTCAAAACCAACCCAATGCACACCCATGTTTATCACGGCTTTGTTCACAATAGCAAGGAGTTGGAAACAACCCAGGTGCCCACCAACAAACAAATGGATAGAGAAGCTGTGGTATATTCACACAATGGAATACTACGCTGTATTGAAAAACAAGGAACTCATGCAATATTATTCAAAATGGGTGAGCCTGGAGGACATTATGCTGAGTGAAATATCTCAGTCGCAAAAGGACGAATATTGCATGGTGCCACTGCTGTAAAATGGGACTGATATCAGGGTTGGGGTAAGATTGAGAAAAACTGGATAAATTGTGTATACTGCACTGAAACAGATGAGGGAAAGAATAATTCAAAAGCGATGTATGATAGGGTATTATGGTTATCACAAGAGTCCACAATTAAGGTTGCATAGGGGTGGTGGGAGGGGTGTGGGGGATTGTGTACCAGGGAGGGAGTGTTTCTTTTACTTTTCAAAGAGAGGAGCGAATGGGGGAGGGGGGAAGACGGGGGGAAGAAAAGTGCAGCAATAAATGAATGGAAATCCAAAATTTCTCTAAATGTTCATTAAAATTATTTTTTAAAAAAACACCCCAAAACCCAGTTCTTGGAATTATAATTTGCATCATAACAAGAACCCCAGTTAACTGTACCCCTATCAAATTTGAGTTAGCGTCCAGAGTTAGAAATACAACTTAAGTTTGCACCCTAGCATACAAACAAAAGCTTCTCAAAATAATGCTTTCTCTTACTTGTGACTTACATCAGTATTTTCTTTTCCACTTTATTTGTATTGTTTCTTTTCTTTTCACCTGTCCTCAACTCCCCCATGCTAAAATACTGTGGCATACCATCTGGGTGGCAGGGGAAGATTCTAGTTCTTTGCCTTCATCTGAGCAGAGGTGATCAAAATTAGCACACCTGAGACAGGGTTCACGTTCAGTGATGTCACCTGTATTTTGTTCTTCAGAAGGGGGCAAAGTGGTAGAAGGGGGAAGGTGTGTTCCCGGTTAGAGACAGTATTTAGTCTCTTTCCTTGGGAGGGAAGAGCTCTAGCTTGCTCCCTGCAGGAGAGTTTGAGGCATGGAGAGAGCCCTGCACTTGAACAGAGGCAGAGAGGATGCACTAACCTTCAGTGGGTTCATACAGCTGCGAGCCCTGCTTTGTGGACTGAAGGCTCACGGGGATGTCCAGAAACTTGTCATAGCAGTCTCCGTACCACACAAGGAGCTCCTGGTTTTGATAGATGTCCTTGCAGCTCTCATAAAATATCTGTCCTTTACATTGCACAGCCACAAGGTTCTGCTCCCTGGGGAACCGGGCACAGTTGACATAGGACATCCAGTTCCCTGCGCTTCCTTTTCCGTCTACAAAATGGCTCAGATAACCATCTTCAAAAATCTACACAAAAAAAGACAGAGTTTGAAATGTACTTTTTTTCTGATCTGTAAATTTTCAAGTAAAATTTATTCAGCATAAAGAAATATACTGTAACAAAGCTTGTCCCTGGATCAGGGATGATTTCAGACATGCAGTGTGGATTCTTATGCATTGCATCCCACCACCTCGCCCTCATAATGGAAAAACAACACTTGCTTTCTGAGTTACCATCCCAAATCACAGCAGCAGTAAGCCTGGAAAGGACCAGGTCAGTGGTTCTGTGCCTCCTGTTGCAGAGAAGCCCTCTTATGCTAACCCACCAGCACATGCTCTCCCTCATCACTCCCTGCTGATCCGACTTTCATTTGATTTCCACCCAGGCAGAAAGATCTTATACACTTAAGCCAGTTTACATCCCGGGGGACATTTTTTTTTTTTCTCCATTAAATTCCTCGGACTGAAATTCACTTTTTTCCCCATATCAATCTCACTTTTGGACATCCCTTTAAACCCCATACTTCTGGGCTCCTAAATATTTAACTCGTTCCATGAATCTCAGGGAGAGGACTCTGGAAGCAAGGGGGTCTTGATAGCAAAGCCCAGGGAGAGGGCAGTCAGAATGCTGCTCTTCTCCAGGTGTGGTCGGCCAGCCTCAGACTCCCTTCATTAGCAAAAGAGGCTGTTTTAATGGAAGCAGCAGGGCAGAACTAGCTGAATAAAAAACAGGTAATGTCTGTGTTTCCTGCACAATCCCCCCACCCCCAGGAGGCTGAGGTGCTAAAAAAAAAAAAAAAGGCCAAACAGCTCCAAGTCTGTGGAAGCAGGTTGGGTTGGTTCTTTGGAACATTTACAATGCCCACTATGTAGAAATACGTGTTTGAAGAATAAGAATAATCTAGTTTTTAACAAAAGTAGAAATAAATATTATTATTTAAAAAAAAAAGTAGGACAATTTATATATTAGGCAAAATAGTACCAGAATGTATAATTTACACTTGACTTTCTATGAACTGGATTTCTCCATCTTTACAAGTAGTACATAAATTTATTTAGTTTTTAGGGCTTCTTTTCAGATGATATGATAGATTGTTGTTGTTATGTGCCATTGAGTCCCTTGCGACTCACAGCGACCCTATGTACAACAGCCCTAAACCCTGCTCTATACTGTACCAAACACACTGCCTCTGAAAAAAAAGCCAACACACCAAAATCCATTTTTACTTTATAGCTTTTTTGATTTCAAAATTTCTACAGTAAGCATGTGTTAATACCATAATTGTATATATTCATCTTCAAGGCGAAAAGATTGTATTCAAATTCTATACAGACAATGGACTGTGTATTTCAACCTAGTTTTCATGCATATTGTTGGGGCCATATGTAAGTATTTTTCCACCACTGCCCATGTTTATTATTAACCACTCTGGGAATTCACATCTTCCACAGAGTTTGAATTTTAAATTATTTTCCTACTGTACTATACTATATTCCAAGAAGTAGAAATCCATAGTCAAAAAGTATTAAACATTCTTAAGGTACATGGACTCTTTCTGCTAAACTGTGTTGCACACAGGTAGCAAACCACAAACACAGCGGCATATCCTGGACAAATTCATTAGCCTGAAGAGTGTCAGTTTCGCGGGGTGGGGGGTGGGCAGGGAGAAAAGTGCAACAATGAATGAATGGAAATCCAAAATCTCTGTAAATGTTCATTAAAATTAATAAATAAAAAAAAGAAGGAAATGGGGGGGGGAAGAGTGCCAGTTTCAAAATGTCTCTGTTATTTGTGTAAGCAAACTAACACATTTTAATATTTGTTTCTCCTCTTTGGTATATACTTCCACTATTTATTTATCTATCTAAGAATATAACACAATGTATTTATTCTCCAAACTCAAGTTCATGGCTAAACCTTAGACTGACATGACAGGAGGCACCAACGGAACTGAAAGCACTGAATACTGAAGCATAGACTCCTTGCAAGGTGCTGAACAAAGCTGCTTTTCCTCTCCTTCCTATTGCAAGTCAGCAGTATTAGAGCTTGCAGCAGAATCTAGCCTGGCTGTGCAAACCAGGTACTCTCCCTGACGTACAAAGACCATGGTTTTCCCCCTCCAGCTTCTCGCTTGAGGTTCAGCAACTCCACCAAGTAACATACTGACCTCCCACATCAGAGAATTGTCGCTGTAGGTCTTAACTTCACTGGCGTTTATCACTTTGCCTTGAAAGGGCCCAAACCTGACCCCTTTAGCGATATGCCTATTACAGAAGACGCCATAATGTGGGGCTCCACCAAACATTGTCTGCAGAAGACAGAGACCTGGGGAGGAAACCAAAGCAAGAAAATACAGCGATAGCACTCACTCTGTATCTGCTTTGAAAAGAGAAATTGTGGAGGAAGTGGTTCCTACCTTCCGGTAGTTGAAGGGAGTCTTCATCCAGACTTTGAGAAAGAGAATTAGATCCTAAAAGATAAACCCAACAACAAGAGGGTGGGGTTAAGAGGTTGGTTTTTGGGGTGTGTGTGTGTGTGTGTGTGTGTGTGTTGGTGTTTTTTTTTTTAAATCCACGTTATAGTGAAATGCTTTCGTAAGGCATTTTGTCCCAGAGGTGACCAACATTTTTGACGTTTATCCTTTGTTCTTGCATTTCCTACTGTTTTACAATGAGCCATTCATACACAATTTCTCAGAACAACCTGCACAAAAATGTATAACTAACTCTAATTATATACTTAAGAAGTTTGAGAATCAGAGGATGGTGATGATTTTAAAATCTCAGTAGATGGCTCAGCGGGGACTCTAAGGTAAAGTACGTGAGGAGACACTGAGATTCCGCAAACCCAGGCAGAAGCTAATCCCCATTACCATCTCTCTCTTCTAAGACAAAGCCCACCTACAGAGTCACACAGTTCCACAACCCTTCCTCCAGACTCCATCTCTGATGGAAGGTCATTCCATCACTGGCCGCCCCCTAGTGCCAATTCAACCCCATCTCTAAGAGCCTCTTCCGCACCCCCACGTCTATCCCCACTCACCCCAGCCCGGGTGTGATGTGCGCGCCGTTTACTAGATCTACCTGTGGGGACCACAACGCCCGAAAGTGCATGGTGCAGTCCGACGGGGTGCTCCAATCTGGGGATGACCCCATAGAGAACCAAGTTCAGGTCCTTCTCTGTGAAGTGGTAGCGATGAGGCGAGTTCCTCTCCGGGCTCTGCGCTTTGGGGACGTCTTCAGGTTGCTTGTTTGGGGTACAGGATAACTGGGAGGTGGTGGGGCCTTCAGGTGGCAGGGAAGCATCCGCAGGGGGTTGGGGGGCTGAGGTCTCGGGTTCGTACCGCGGAGGGCTCTGGCTTTGGCCACCGTAGTGCCCGAAGTTGTCAGTGCTGGCTCCTGCGCACTCGCTGTTCAGGAACTGCGGCACCTCCCTGGGGAGGTGGGGAATTGGGTACCACGGGGGCAGCTTGGAGTACCTGGGCAGATCGTAGAAGGAGTCGGACTGCAGGGCCAGGCCCGGACTGAGCAGGGGTGCTGTCGCCCCGAAGGCAAAGGGGAGCATGGCGTGGGCCCCCGACAGCTCGGGCTCCAGGTGCCCGAACGCCTGGAAGTCCCCCTCGGCCGTGGCGAAGGCGCCTCCATAGTGGTCATAGTTGAGGAAAGGCGTGTAGTAGGCGGCCAGGGGCTGCGGGGTGTTCTGGAAACTCTCGGAAGGGTAGCACACCTTGTCGTGGGGGCCGGCCTCAGCCAGTGGCCGCAGAGCCATCTCGGGTCCAAGGAGCCGCGGGTCTGGGAAGAGAAAGCGTGGCTGAGTGGCTCTGCCCGTGGTCCCCCCGACGCTATCCGAATCAGGGCAGGGCGGATTCCCGTCCCAGCCCGCCCCAGGGTAAAGGAACTGGATACAGAACCCAATTCCACCTCGCAGGCCCTCCCCCGCCCCAAACGAAACGAAAACCAACAAAAACCACAAAACGATAAACACTCCAGACGAAAACACGTCGGGGTCCCGGGGTCCCGTCTGACCCCAGGGTCCTGCTGGGTGAAGCCTCGCTCTCCCCCAGATACGATCTGGCCAAGCACCGCCGGGCTTCCCCCAGGAGCGCCCTGCATCCGGCTCCAGCAGAGCAAGCCCACGCTTCCCTTGGCCTCCTCCATCTAACAGAACCTCCTAACAGGGATCTCCCGTCCCCAGAAATGGAGAAAGTTCGGGACGCCCAGCTGGGAGGACGTGCAGGCGGTCCCAGCTCCGAACTGCTGACCTGGGCGCTCCGCGACAACCTGCGCGCCCGTCGTCTGACCGCGGACGCCGAGGCTCGGGCTGGAGCTATACAGCCTGCGTTCGGCTTCCCACGCGGGCCACCACCCGCCACAGCCAGGGTCCCCAGAAAACCCCAGGGCATCCACGAGGGGAGGGAACAGGCCAGGGAAGGCAGGCTCAGGCCGACCGCGCTCCAGACCCCGCGCAGAAAGGCGTTTGGATGGACTCACAGCGCAAGGTGAGCGTGGCTGAGAAGTCCTCACTGAGGCACGATCAGCGAGCCGGCAAAGAACCCCACGAGATCGTGCTTAGAAGTGAGAACGCGGGGCCAGGTGAGAGGGCGGTGAGGAGAAGGCAGCTGGTCTCCGCTTCCAAAGCCTCCGAAGCGCCCCGCTCTTGGCCTCCCCACACCCCCAGGATCTAAGGCTCCGGATCGAAAGCCCTTAAGAAGGAAAACCCTCTGGGGAGGCGGGCCGATCACCCCAAGTGACCTGAGGTCACAAGTGACCCCCCCCCCCACGCGTTCCCTGGGCCCGCTGGCCAGGGCCTGGGCGCACCCACCTCGGAGAGCGTCGGGGTCCCTCGCGCGGCGCGGGTCCTGGGCCCTCGGGGAGCTGCGGGGCCACGCCGGCGGGAGCAGGCGGCTGGGCGGGCGGGGCGAGGTGGGAGGGTCGCGGCTCACGCAGGTGCGGGGCCGACCTCCCCGCCCCCTGGACGGTCATTGGCCGCCGCGGCCCCTCCGGGCGCTCGCTCAACTCCGGTTCCCCAGGTCTCACCTCCGCCCGGGCGCACCGCACTACCCGCCTCGTGCCCTGTCTAACCCGGAGGGGACAAAGACTGCGCAGGTATCACCGAGGGTCCCCCGAGAAGCCCGCGGTGCGCCCACCGGCCCCGAACAGGCCTGTGGGATGGAGCTGCAGCCGCTCCGGGACCGAGCCTCGCCGGGGGCGGCCTCAAGCCTCCCGAGGCTCCGTCGGCCGATGGTCCTGGGCGCCTGGAGCCGCGGACTCCGCCCTGGAAGCCGAGGGCGGATGGAGATGGCTCAGCGACCCAAACCCGGTCGCGGGACGACCCTCGAATTGCCCGGGAGCGATGCGCACACAGGTTCGCGCGTGCGGCAGCCCCTCTTCGCTGGGCTCCGAACCTGGGACGCGCGGGCCTCGGAATGCAAGGTCCCCCCACCGGCCGAGGCCTCCGAGAGGGCAGTTAGAAGTGTGTACCTGGAGCCCTAGGGCTGCTGTCGGGCTGCTCACTCCCAGCCGCTCAGCGGGAAAGGAAAGAGGCGGTCACTTCGCGTTGAATTGCACGCCTTAGAAACCCTGGGGACAGTTCTGTTCTGTTCTGTCCTAGGGGGAGAAAAAAAAGACCAAACCAAATTCATTATCATGGAGTTGGAACCGACTCATAACTGACCCAACACTGGGTTTCTGAGGCTGTAAATGGCGCAGGAGGAGTTTAAACATCGCTGTCCCCCCTGGAGCTGCAGATGGATTCCATAGGAAACCCAGAGAGGCGCCGCCTCTCGGTTAGCAACGCACTCCTTAAAGACTAGGGCCGCCAAGGCCTCTTCTCGGTGCTAAACGGTCGCTAAAAGCTGAAATCCGTTCCTGGGCTGGGTGCATGCATGACACAGTACTTGCCAATGCAAAGTTTATCAAAGGTGCAATATAGTGCTATCAATTAACCTCATGCCAGATTTTCTCATCTCCATAAACAGTCACTTAACCCTCCCTCCCCACTTCTTCCTCCCGCCCCCGTAGGTAGATAGTCAGATCCTGCAGAGATCCCCTGGACATTTTGTCCTGGGCTGCCCTCAACATCTCCCCTGTTCTCAAGCCCATTGTTGTAGTCAATGAATCTCCTCGAGGGTCTTAATCACTGATAAACTTTGGTCTCTACACATTTGCCTAGCCTTGTAATTCTAGGTAAATGAGACCATACACAATTTGCCGGTTTTATGATGAAATGTAATTTACAGAGCATAAGATTTGTTAGTTTCATCCATGATTTAGTTTGGATCACAACGTGATCTAGTCGGTACTGCACGCTCAAAGGTGGCATCTCTTGTATATTCTAAGGCAACAGCCTCCAAGGAAGAGGGATGCACACTGTTCTGTGGAATTTGCAGCCTCACAACCCTGCTGGAGGGTCAAAAGGATACCCATCCAAAAGTTTGTGTCTTTATGTACCTTTGAGCAAAAACTGGCCCGTGGCTGTCCCTCCAGTGGGCTTTTTCAGAGGCTGTAAATCACAGGAAGTGTTAGAACCTGTGCTGCAATCCCAAAGGCACACAGTTCAAATCTACTAGCTGCTCCGAGGGAGAAGGATGGGCAGTCTCCTCCCAAGTGGTCAACTGCCTCTGAAAACCCACCCGTGGGTCAGCTATGGGTCGGTTCAGACTTGATGGCACTCAGCAACAAAACACATGAGAGAACATTGCCCATGGAGCAGCTGGCGGATTCAAACCGTGTACCTTCAGATTGGCAGCACAGTTTATTAGCATTAGGCCACCAGAACCTTGCATGGAAGTTTAGAGAAGTTCTCAAGTCTAGGGAGCTCTGGGGACCTAGTGGCAAGAAGCTGCACTGCAATCCTAGAGGTACACAGTTCAAATCCACAAGATGCTATGCTGAAGAAGCAGGAACAATCACCTCTTGTACCAGTCAGATCCAATTTGACGGTACACTCATCATCATCATCATCATCATCATCATCATCATCATAATACAATTTTTTTAAAGTTCTCAATTCCTTCCTCTTTGACTTTAGTGGCTATATATTTGAGAAACAGTTGTTATTAACAAGTCTTCCTTTAATGTGTATAGACAGTATTCCAACACTCACAGCATTGAACATCAAGATAGATCTTGAAATGTTGTTGGTTTTGTTTTGGTTTTTTTTTTTACTATGAATGTAACACCATTATTCCTCAGTTTGTCATTTCTAGAATATAGAATATCTGATGAAAAGTGGCCATTCCCAGTGTGTTATGATTGGACTAGATTCACAAATTCCTAGGATGTCGATCTTTTAGCATTATTTCATTTGATTTTTACTTCTTCCAATTTTCTTACATTCATACTTTGGGGTTTTTTTAATTTTTTGTTATTCTTTTTTTTAGTGTGTACCATGAAATCAGATCTGACTGGTACAGGAAGAGATGTTTCTCCTTGTCCAGCAGAGCATCTGGTGGGTTCAAACTGCAAACCTCTGGGATTGCAGTGCAGCTTCTTGCCACTAGGCCACCAGAGCTCCCTTACATTCATACTTTGTCCATTCCATGTTCCAGTCATTCGTGGATGTTTGCAGCTATTTTACTCATTTTTTAGGTTCTTCCAGTCTGAGAAATGGGTGCTGTCCACCGGGTGGTGAGAAGTTGCCACTGTCAACCCCATGGCATTCAATTAGAATCCAGCAGCTGCTCTATAGGACAAAAGTAATCAATCTCCCTTGTAATTTAAAGCCTCTGAAAACCTGCTGAGCAGTCAGTTATGAGTCAGTTCCAAATCCACACTACACAACAACCAACAATCTGAGAGGCTTTATTTCTTGTACTATGTTCCTCTGTTATTCACAGGGTTTTAAAGTTCTTTAATGTCAGCAGTGGATGGCCCATCCTGCTTCTTAGTCGATCTTAGTCTGGAAACTTCTCTGAAAGCTGTCCACCAGCAGTAACCCTGTTGGTGTTTGAAGTACTGGTAGCCCAGCTTCCACCTTTACGAAAGCCTATAAGCCAATCCAATACCACAAATTGACTAGTGCTGTACTCGTAAAAGCAAGCTACAAACAAGCAAGAATATGCATATACAAACTTCAAAAGAAGCAATAACATGCAAGCCAACATCCACAATGCAGCAACCTGATAGACGAGCACTACACTCCTAAGAGCAAACTATAAAATAAGAAGGCATAGAAATATTGTGAAACAAAAATGCAGGTGAAGAGAACATGAAAGACTTGCTGCCGCACATTAATGACTACAGACTTCAGTATGGAGTACCAAGTCCTCATCACTGGACCAACTAAGAGGGAACATCATGAAAGATGGAGAAAAGATGAAAGTTGTCAACAATTTCCTTTTACTGGGATCCACAATCAACATCCACGGTAGCAGCAGTCTGGAAGTCAAAAGGCATGCTGCAGTGGGGAAATCTGTTCTCAGAGACTCTTCACAAGGCTAAACAGCAAGGATGTCCGTTTAAAGGCTAACAAACATATGCTTGATCCAAGCCATGGTATTTTCAATCACTTTCAGTGCTTCTGAAATTTGAACAAGAAATAAGGATGGCAGAAGAAGAATCAATGCCTTCGAGTTGTGGTGCTGGAGAACAGTAGTGACTGTCAAAAGAACAAGCCAATCTGTCTTGGGGGACATGCAAACAGGGTGCTCAATGAGAGGCAAGGGTGGTGAAACTTCATCTGACATACATTAGCCATGTTGTTACACGGAGCCAGCTCTTAGGAAAATGACATGATGCTGTGAAAGGTCAAAGAAAGAGAGGAAGACC